ACTCACTTTCATAGTACATGAGTAATTAAATCAATTATAAATTGAACTCTACTTATTACTTAAGGTGAAAATAAGTACGAGTTCTCCAAATATTTTTAAATAGTACATGAGTAAATAAATCAATTTTAAATTGAAACTCTACTTATTACTTAAGGTGAAAATAAGTACGAGTTCTCCTAATATTAAAAAAAGAAAAAAAAAAAAAAAGGCCGACTTGGCCAACCGCCCTCATACTATGATCATAGTATGAACAGTTTTTTGAAATTGTCAACATAATGGAATCGTATGAAATATGTCATGGTTACAGGAATCCATCCATTGCGTATAGGCTTTAAGGGTATCGTAGCAAAACTGTCGAGGTGAAGTCGGGACCTAAAAGATTGAATGGAACAATATATAGACAAGTAAATCCCTTATGAATTCCACGGTACTCCTTTACTTTCACTTTAATTCCTAAATTAAGAATTAATCTTGAAAAGTATTTAATGCCCATTTCGATCAACTCTCCATCATCTTTCTTTGGCTGAGCAGTATGTATTTCCACGGTGCTCGTTTTTCCTCATTTTAACTTTTAAGCTTTGGAAACCCATTCGTTCACAGTGCCATTCATGACTGCAAAGAGAGGGAACTTCCACTTAACAAGTGTCTCTCTTCGATTCTCTTCAGGTTCCACCCTCCCGTATTCCCAGTTTCCATACCTAACAAAAACTATATGATTATATTCAATTATTCGTGTTAAGCCCCTATTTCACAACCATTAAAAATAATTTTTTTTGAGGGGAAAATGAGCTATAGAATAGTGATTTTTTTGGAAAATGTATGGTTTAACAAGTAGAAAATATTGATTTCACGTATAAAATATTTTATTGTATGGATGTGTGGTTGAAATATTAATATAACTGCAAATAATTTGTTATCATTCTTCATTTACACTGGATTTTTCTTCCCTTCTTATCTTTTTGCATGCAGTCGAGATTCTTACTGGTCATTACTGTTATTCGAAGATTTTTTTTTCTCCCAAGTCCCAGTTTTCTTCCTTTTTTTCTATATGCTTTTAGTGGGTTTGCACTTTGCTAAATCACTCGAATAAAAGCACTTACAAAATTAATTATTATTCAAAATTTATCTATCAAATTGCTTCTTCGACCGTAACAGTATTAGGGTTTCGTAGTAAGCCAAAGTTCATATTTTAATTATTGTTTTCGTGTTATACGAACCACCACCTTACGAGGAACGTATAGTATGACTGTACGCAAATAATTATGAGGTCACACTAAATTAGGCCATGTAAGAAATTTAGTATAAAATTATAATGAAGGGTAATAGGTAGATATTATTATGGTGGATCAAAATTAATACTATTCTTTAAGCTTCAATTCAAATTATAGTTATTTGCACTATTATGAAAGTTGGAGGTGAGTTTACGCAGAGTAAGGAAGATACACGAAATGACATTCTTTTAAATAAAAAATTAATGGATGCCAAATATTTAATAATATTCATTACAATTTTAAACTAAATTCTTTGTATGAACTAATCCGATATGCCAAACGTTGCTTGAGTGTTTTAGGTGGTCTTGTTTGGTAGTGTTGTTAGAGGCATTTTTATTTATGAGTTTCTGGTAAGACCCATCACTGTTTATTTACTTTAGTTTCTTGATTCTACTCTTTGTTGCCTATTATTATAATAAAAATAGAAAAGGAACATTCATTTATTAATTTATGAGTTAGTTCTCTACCGTTCTCTAATAATTGAAGTCCTTTTCTTCTTGACTAATTTTATATGAGTTTTATGGAGAATTCTTGACAATTATTAAAATTCTTTTTGTTCAACCTTTTCATGTTAAGATACTCATTCACTCATTTCTCTGTTTGGGTGGGAGAGGGCCAAATTTCACAGGCAAAATGGGGGGTGGGGGTGAAATCACTTATTCATCAAATAATTATATTTTACTACTTGAAATTTTTTGGGTAGTTATTTATTTATGGTCAAAATTAGGTTATGGGGTATTTAAATGACATTGATTCTAAGATTTAGGATTGTCATCTGCTTAAATATCTGATCAAATTGATCTGCAGAGGGCATCGAGTGAGTGAAGTTTGATTGAAATATCTGGTAGGAAGGCCTAATACTGGATTCTTGTTCTCCAGAGTTTGCTTTGAATGGTAACTGGTAAGTATTCAAATGTTGTTTGGATTTTTCAATTTTATATATATATTTTTTGATTTCGACGTTTAGATTCAATTCTCTGGTTGATAAGTTTAATCTTGAACTACAACATATAGTCAAGTTTGATCAAAGTTCCCAAAAAAAAACCCACCTTGATTGCCTATTGATGCTATAATCCATAATGACTTGAGCTTAATGGTTTCCTTAAGATTTTCCTTTGTTGTGTTAGCTTGTTCTGCGTTTTGAGTGTGTTGCATTTGCTTCAGACAAACTGTCTTCCGTGACTGAATTGAAAACTTAAATGGCTAATGCTTCATTCATCAATCATTTACAAATATACTTTTAGTTAATGCATTAAGACCCAAAAATGCTTATGTATTTTAGCCAACCGGAGCTCGAGGTAGTATCTTCAGTTGCACCATCGATAATAAATGGCTGACAAAGGATGAATGTAGAGTTTGTCATCCGAAACCTTAATCCATTTATATACATTTGAGGTTGTAATTGCTTTTTTTCCCCCACTTTTGAAAGAAAATGTGAGGTTTTTACCTCCCTGGGAGTAATACGAGTGTTTTTCTGTAGTTTCTGTCCCCTATTGGATGATATCTTATCTAATTTTGCTTACGAATCAAATTTTTGGTACAATTTCACTTGTTACCTTTTGGTTACTTGAAGACTGAAGCTTTCTTGATCTTGTGCACGAATCCATTGTAAATTTGGCATATGACATGAGGAAGGTGTTATTTCTCGCAAGGTTTTGTGAAAATTAGTCACACTCATGGGTAGCTGTGTTTCAAAAGCAAAACTAAAGGTGAAATCAAATGCCAAGTACTTGTACAAGTCTTGCAAATTTCGCCGAAAGATTGCCCCATCAGTTCCAGTTGCAACTGTTGAGAATTTTGTGAGCGACTTTTCTGTCCAAGAATTAGCTTCTTTGGATGTTCAAAGTGGCGAAACAATGATCTGCTGCATGTCTGAGACGCAAATTCGAACTTTCCAACATTGTGAGTGGCAACAGAACCATACTGAAGTTGGGATAAATGGTACGGTTCTCTTTTGTTCCTTCATTTTCCTTCTTTATTGCACATGTAACCAAAATATTCATCAGATTACGGTTTTAGCAGGAACGTGCCAAGAAGAAGAATGGTTTGACTCCGTTAGTGTTCTTGACTCTGATACCGATGAAGACTTTATCAGTGTTGATTGTGGTAATTTCTGATAATTTCTGTTTTGATTTACTTTTCATTTGCAACAGAATTTCAATTTGGTGTTTATATTTTTCTTCCAAAATTTTTTGCATCGTTGAGTACAGGTTGGAGCTCATTAGATGGACAAACGACTCAATTTGAGGGTAACTCGTGCTTTGTTGACAATGCGTATAGAACCGAGGATAAAACTACAAATATTTTGAACTTTGAGGAAAAGAAACAGAATGGCTTCATGCAGCTAAATTCAGGTATACAAAATACTGATCTTTCACACTTTAAAAACACAACCGAAAATTTTACAAAAGAGGATTGAAGTCAATGTACAGCATTATGAAGAAACAACTGTGAGAAGCAATTTTGAGTGTTGCCTATCACAGTTCTTCCTTCAGTCGATGCCTTTGACATAAATCAGCATTTCCCGTTCCCAGGTTCAATATCAAACAGAAGTAAGTCAAGCGCTACAGTAGTTCCATTAGAGAGGAAACTCTATGATAGAGAAATTCCAACAGAGTTCTGTAAGTAGAAAATGTACTCTGTTAAATAAGTTGTTTATAGCACACAGTTAAGATTAGCTATCTAAACAGGTAGAGATATAAGCTAATACATTTACAATGATAGGTTCGTCTGATAGATTCTTATGTCATCCTAGAGCAGGGGATCTAATTCCATGCTCCGTGGAGAAGCCAACTCAAGGTCGCTGGTGCCCTCTAGCACCTTCTGCCTTTAAGCTACGCGGAGAAAATTATTTCAGGCATGTCATATTGTTACCAAGTAATGATCTAGTATAGTATGCATATTTATGGCTACTTTTTGGTGGGAGTCTGGATTTGTATCATGTCTTTCTAAGTTCTGACTAGATTATAATTTTTCTGAATGCAGAGATAAAAAGAAATATCCTGCTCCTAATCACTGCCCTTACGTACCTTTTGGTACTGATCTATTCGCCTGCCCTCGAAAGATACATCACATCGCACAGCATGTTGAACTTCCTTCTGTGAAGTCACACAATGAAGTGCCTTACCTACTGATTGTTAACATACAGGTCTAGCATTTGTCTTTTGAGATGAACGGACTGGAGAAATTGATTCATGTAGTCGACCCAAATTTATTGAAAATAATGATTAATTTTTATTTATTATTTGTTTGATATTGCTGTTGTTACCTCTTGGAGGCTTAATTCGGGAAGTTCTTATGGCAGCTTCCTGCCTATCCTGCTTCCATGTTCCTTGGTGACAGTGACGGGGAAGGCTTAAGCCTTGTATTATACTTCAAATTATCAGACAACTTTGACAAAGAGATATCTCCACTAGTTTTGGACACCATAAAGGTATTCAAAAGATTACTCAACATTTTTTGCTCTTGCAGTGAGTCCTAAAAATTCTGTTCATCGATTTTTGGACCATTTGCTTAATTTTGTGGGTTTATCAGTGCAAATTTTGGTTAACAGCTTCCATTTGGTTATACCTTAGAGATTTGTCATGGATGAGATGGAGACTGTGAAGGGTTTTGCTAAAGAATCCACAGTTCCTTACAGAGAAAGGCTAAAGTTCTTGGTAAATCCTGTCAATCCTGAGGACCTCCATTTGAGTTCTGCCGAGAAAAAGCTTCTATCTGCATACAAGGATAAGCCAATACTTTCCCGTCCTCAACATGTTTTCTACAAGGTACATATTCTAGTAATTCGTGGTCAATTATTTGTTAATAATTGGGAAGTGGTTAAAAGCTCCCTATAAGCACTCCCAAACATGCACTGTCAGATATTTAGACCATTTCTGAATAGTAAACTTCTTTATCTTATTTATTGCTGTCTTTTGCCTTTATCTTCATTTGATTAGGTATTTATCAACTTTTCTTTATATGAACTTTACATTTGATGGTACTTAGTTACTTTGAAAATGAACGTCACGTTCTCAGGGACCCAATTACTTGGAAATCGACCTGGATGTACATCGTTTCAGCTACATATGTAGGAAAGGACTCGATGCATTTCGAGCTCGTTTAAAACATGGTATACTTGATCTCGGATTGACAATTCAGGTAATTCTTTTAATTATTTTCACTCAAAACCAATATCAAGTGATTTGGAGGAGCATGGTGCTTCGTCTCCTCTAGAGTCGATACAACATCAAAAAATAAAAAATAAAAGATGATGACAATATGTTCAGATTATGAGATCATAATGGTCACTGCAGGCACAAAAGCCCGAGGAACTGCCCGAGAAAGTTCTATGTTGCGTTCGACTGGACAAAGTAGACTTTGAAAATCATGGACAGATGCCAACACTTGTAACTCTTAGTAAAGATTAAGGCTGGAGATTTGAGGGACGACATTTTAAGCCACGGTGAGCCATGAAAGTGTAAAGTTCTTAGCATAACAGTGGTTCATCTGAGTGGGAAGAGAGAGAGAGAGAGCAAAATGTTTCTGTAAAGATTGTTCAGTCTGGTATGAAAGAGACTATTTCTACCGCCTATATATGTATCTAGTATTATCAATGCCTTCAAGGTGATTCAATGAAATGATTCTTTTCATTTCTGATCTAGTAAGACTTGAATTTGTTGCGACAGTCTAAATCAGTATTTATTCTCATATTTACTGAGGGACTTACCTTTCGATCTCAATCTCAGTCACTGATTTTGGGGGAAAAAGAAAAGTAAAGAAATAGAAATTCGAAACCCTAGAAAGAGAAAATGGTTTTCTACTTCAAGGCGCGACCAGAAGACGGAGATTACACGATATTCATGGGAATCGATAAGCACGAGAACGAGGAACTCATCAAATACGGCTTCCCAGAAGACATTTGGTATTTTCTTTTATTTTATCTAATTAGATCTATGTCGTGCGCGCAGAAATTTTTAATTTATGTTTGTTTGGGGAAGATGATGGGTTTATCTACGTATGGCAAAGAAAAAGAAAGAAAGATGGAAATAGTTTGGTATGTAAAGGAAATCTCAATTCAACGCATCTGGAAATAATTTGCTCGTTGTGCTTCGCGCTTTGTTTGGTCGCAGAAAATTCCATTTTGAATTGACAAGGATAGTCATCAATTGTTTCGATAGCTAATGGTTTACAGCCACTTCCGGAATTCAATGGAAGCTTCCCAAAGTCGGTCATAATCGAATTTGTTCATATGCTAAAGGCTTTGATAAATGCATTCTTGTGAATTTTCCATCAGTTGTTGAAGTTTTCTTGACACAATTGTTCTATGTAGGTTTCATGTGGATAAAATGTCTTCAGCTCACGTTTATCTTAGATTGCCTAAGGGTCGAACCATTGAGGATATACCCGAAGGTGTTCTGGAAGATTGTGCTCAACTAGTTAAAGCAAATTCTATCCAAGGCTAGTACACATTCATGAATTTCCCTCCCCCTTTTTTCATATATAACTGTTAATCGCATATTGTAATCGCCCCCACTTTACATGATTGATGTATCCATGAAACTTATTATGTCAGTATAACGCTCTTTGTATGCTGATCATATGTCAAAACAGCTGACTGATTTCTTCTCGGAAAGCTTACCTATTTTGTTTATGGAATTTAGACAGCAGTTAAAATCTTCTGATTCTGTTACCTGGCAGGTAATAAAGTAAATGATGTTGATGTTGTTTACACTCCTTGGCAAAATCTTAAAAAGACTGCTTCCATGGATGTTGGACAAGTTGGATTTCACAACCCCAGAATGGTAATTTTTTTATCCATCTTTAATATTCATGCCTGTATAATTCATTCGCTCTGGATTCTATGTTTTGCAGCGCATATTTTCTCTTGTTCAGGTTGGATGTCAAAGTTAATTCATGTGTTTCTTTGTTTAGGTTCGTACTGTAAAAGTGGAAAAGAGAATAAATGACATAATTAACCAGTTAAACAGGACAAAGGTGGAAAGGCAACCTGATTTGAAAGGTGCATTTATAATTCTTGTGTTAAAGCTGTGCCCTCCTCCCCCTCTCTGCTTTCCAAGTCTTTTGACCTTTTCACTTACCTCATTTTGAGTCCTGATATTTTATTTAATATTACACTTCCTTTTGTATTTGAGCATCATATTACATATCTGTGTTTTTATCTGCTCAGCTGAACGAGAGGCAGTCAATGCGGCTGAAAGATCAGAGAGAAAACAGCAATTTAGAGAGAAAGTGAGTCATAATTTCTGTGTAAACTTTATTGCATTAAAATACATATAATTTGATAATCATTGTTGTTACATGCGCTGGTGCATCACAAACGCTGAAGTATATCTCCCTGAACTTATTGCTTAGATCATAAAGGTGAATGAAAATATTTCTAGACTTGTGACTTGGAGTTTCCTTAACCCCAAAAGTCATGACACTCCACTTCCCATGTTAATTATCCAAAACACATTTATTAATCCATGGTACCCAGTAATATTCCTCCTAAAAAGTTACTAATAACTTTGGACAAACTAAGAACTTGTAAAGATACCTGCTGCTAGAAAAATTGCTGCTAAAATACATATATTTGCAGGTTGGATAGAAACGAGAATGAAAATATTATAATTTTTCTAATCCAATTAATGCAGCCAATTCCTACTCCAGTTATATTCAGTTTTTTCCTGCCAAGGATTATTGCTTGAAAAGAACTTGATGTACAACATAAAGAGCAAGAGAGAGAGAGGATAAGCCTACGATAATAACTACTGTAAAGAGGAAATTTCACAACTCAATGATTGACAAGTAATACAGGAAAATTAAATATCTACTTTTAAATTTACGATGTTTTCTGCTGCATTATAAATGTAATTCCCTCACAGGAATCCAATCTCCATCTCTAGGCAAAGGAAGAATCCATCATGATATCCTACGATGACAATAATTTCAACAAAGCTATTTAAGTTTGCTGCGATATACTTATTTGGTTTTATTTCTTACAAATTACCCCACCAAAAAATTTTGTAATTCAATTGAAAATATATTGCAGAAACGGCAGGAAGAGTTGGAAAGACTCCAGAGGGAGAAACAAGCGGAGTTGAGGAGCTACAAAAACTTGATGGTAGCTGAGAAGATGACATCAAACAAGGAGATTGCTTCAACTACCAAGTCCCTACAAGAGCTTGAAGAAGACTTCATGTGAATCTTGAACATATTTCAATAAAGTTCACTCCTTAATTTGGTATGGGTTATGTAATTTCGAGGGAAAGAAGGCTAAAAGAGTATCAAGATGGGATTGCCGAGCTGTGAATTTTGCTAATGGAAAGTGTGATTTATTGTAAAGCCTTGGAACAATGCTATGATGAAAGTTAATTATTTTGATGTAACTCTTACTCTACTTGTAAAATAAATAACGTGAATTATTTTCTTATTTCAGTTTACTTATTTATTTTTTAAAAATTTCACTGAGGTCTAACTGACTAGCAATAAATAGAGAGCTATATTTGCTAGTGCTGACTTTATTGCAAGGTTTAAAAGGAGTAAAGCATGATAAAGTGGCAAAACTTAAGCCAGTTAAGACCATTAATAATTCTAATTATTTTCGCTATTTTAGCCCTCATTTGGTTTCCAATAAACTTCATTTCATTTTTTTTTATCTAATTTTTAATCACATAATTTTTCATAAAATAATATTATACGTAAATTGATAGTTTTTTTTTAATTTTTTTTTTTAGTTACTCATTTTTCTAAGAACTGCTATTCCATCCATTTTCATTTCAAAAAATGGGGGCCAAACGGGTGCTAAGTCGCAACTTGTGGTTTTTTCAAAAGATCAAACTTATCAAATATGAAATTTGAAGAAACACCATCAACAATCTCTTTCTCAACATAGCTATCATAATTTACCAGGAATACATTCTCTAATTTATTGCAAACCGGTGTCTTAAATAAGCATCTTGTTACTTTGTTGCTGTTGAAACCAAAAGAATCAACACTAAAAAAATTGTCGTAACATCTAACTATTAGTCCTGGGGTGGCCTAGAACCCACCCTGTCTATGGGCTGGACCACACATGCCACTACAAGGTGCAGAGTTGAGGAGAAAAGTGCTAACTCCGTGACAAGGCTCTCTCTCTCTCTCACACGTGCGCGCGCACACACACACACTGAAATAGTATTCCCTTCTCATTTTGTCTTATGCCAAATATGCATCTTGAAGCAAATTTATGTCTAAATAAACTAAAGTAAAACTTGCCAAATAAACAAGTATATTGGAAGTGTACAACATCTCCTTACAATGACAAAAATATCATTAAAAATTTCCAATTACGGTTCAAACAATGTCAAGTTTCATTTAAGCCCCTTTTTAATAACTATTATTTGAAAACTTCTTTTCTACATACTCATTTTCAACTACATATCCACACCATAAAATATTTTGTACGTAAATTCAAAACTTTTCCTACTTTTTAACCGCATATTCTTCTAAAAATTACTACACTTTCCACAAATAGTGGCAATCAAACAGGGGCTAAATGTGCAAATGGAAAGGGATGAGAAGTGTTTGTCTGGTATATCCGTGGAATAATTTGGTCACAGGCAAAAAGTATTGGATAATTCCCACGTTTGATGTTGTTTGGTTATGTTTATGTATTAGGTTACTTAGTTTTTTAAATTCAAATAGAATTAATCTAGTGGTACATAATGGGGTGTACCTAAGGGTGTACATTCCTTTCACATGGGGTGTGGGGTCCACCCGAATAAGTATTTTTTATTCGGGTGGATCCCACACCCCATGTGAGAGGGGTGTACACGCTTAGATACACCTCTATGTACCATCAACACCACCGATTCAGATAAAATGGAAGCTTTTTAAGGACAATTTATATATGTAGTTTGCTGTTTCCTGTGTACAAGAGCACAACTTTAAATTCTCATACAATTTAAATGTTATACTGTTGACCTCAAACAAATGTTTGTTAACTTATAATCCATCAAGAGTAAAATATTTTGTGCCTTTGTTCACGAGACACTATTGCGTAACATCTGACTCCACGTAGACTGCCAGAATATTATTTGAAGAGGTCAACACTAAGTAATATCTCACACCAACAGTGACCTTGAGATAACGAGCTTCAGACGATTAACATGTCGAGCTGAAGTGCTGAAAAGAGTTATAAGAAAAGAAATATATAAAACAACAGTAATAACTAACCAACCCTTTCCAATTATTCATGGTTTACATATATTCCTCTCCCTGATCAATAATTGCTCACAAACTAATGTCATTTTCAATTCATAAATTTTTCCCCACAAAATTCCACCATTTCCTTCTCCAATTCATCAATTTCAGGTAAAGTAATTAATTGTGCAAGTATATCAATCTCACTCATAAATTTCATTATCCAGACAAATTACAATTCTATTTCACCATAAACACATTCAATTCCACGATTACAATGAATCGATCAAAGTTATGTTAAATTGAAGACTAAATTTAGTACCTGAGCAGGCGGAACGAACCCAGGCGAATCAAGCAAGCTTGCCGGACTCAATCCGGGAGGTATTGTAAACATCCCAGGCTGCTGCCACACTACTAAACCAGCCGGCCTATGCTGAAACCTAAAATCACCTCCAGTATCCTCCTTATTCTCCACTGCGGCCTGTTGCACCGGCTGAGAAGGTAAAAAATTATGCCTAATGTTTGGCATACCTGCCGGAGAGTCCATGGCTCCGGCAAGCAACTGCGAGAACGAGCGGGGGTCATTTTCCGCAAAAAAGCTGGAAACCAAGGTCATCGGGCCCGGGCTCGCCCCCGGCCCACCCATAAACAAATTTTCCATTGAACTCCTCGGAGGCAAAGCAATCCTCGGCCGAGCAGACTGAGATGATGGTGATGGTGGTGACGGAGGTTGATTCTCAGCCATTAAACTTAGTTTTGACTTCAAATTTTTGAAGTTTCAAATCATTGAAGCTTCAAACTTTCAAAGAGAAAGAGATTACAGAGAGAATGATTGCTTCAATGAATAAATTTCTTCGTTCGATTAAGGAAGAAGAGATTTTAGAGAGTTTTTTAGATTTGAGCTATTTTCTATACTCCGCAACCTGAAAGTCACCGCCTTGTTTTGTGAACTTTCTATTTTTGCAGGCAAAAGTCCACGGAAATATAATGAATTAATTTTCTCATTTGGCCCCCATAATATTGTTTTTATATCAAATTGGGTCCACAATAATTCGGCAAGAAAGTGGTTAAAACTCGTTGCTTCGAGGTTCTTGTATTTAAAGTCAAAATTCAAAACATCCAACTTTGAATATTAATTAATATTTAGTTAATCCCTTGTTTTAGGATTTTAGATGCAAGTGATGCATATAGTTTTTCAATTAACGGGTAAAATTTACATTTTATTTGTTTTGATAATTAATCGAGAAAAGAAAAGTTGAACATGATTTGTAACATATTGATATAAAGTCGATGGCGATTGGATTTGGTTAAAATGGAATTAAGATTTAGCATAGAAAAATGACTGTTTTCGCTAGAAATTTATCAAATTGTAAAAGAAGGGGAAAATTTGTAGGTAAGCTGTTTTATTAATGGAAAATCAAGAATTCAAATTTATTTTTCCATTTCGCTATCTCATTTGCAATGTCCAAACAAGTTCTAACACAGTGCTATAATTTTGAGGTGTTAAAATTATAGTGGAACATAACGCAGTATGTAAAAATAAAACGAAAAACAAACTTTGTACGACTGTAATTTTGACAATTTAAATTATAATGACGTATCAAAATTTCATTAAAGAACAAACAATGAGATAGCGAGAACTTCATATCTAGAAAAATCTATTGATAACTTATGGTTTAGACAGTCCGGTATCCATTTTGAATATTTTTAATCTTAAACAACAAAGTTATAATCTAAATGTTTAAATTAATTATTTTTTCTTTAAATACAGATTATATATTTTCCAAAGCGTAGGGCCTAAATCATTATAAGCTCAGATTATAGGGAGCACTGAAAGTAACATCATTCTGTTTTTGTTGACAATTATAGCCTCATTGACTTCTGTAATGGCTGTATTGACTACTGGACGCCACGTCGGGGCCTGTTTGAGTTTTAAATTGTGTTTTGCTCTTTAAAATATGCGTTGGGTAATTGTTTTTGCTCTTTTTATTATATTATAAATAAAAAAATGCTTTTATATAAACACTTCATTAAAAATCTGGACAAAATCGAATAATTTTCTTTAGAGGGTGTTTGGTAGGAATTTTTATGTGAAAATGAATTTTTGAATAGTAAATTGATGGGAAATGTGTGGTTGAAAAATAAGAAAATTTTTTTGATTTACGTGTAATATTATTTTAATAAAGAATATGTAGTTGAAAAGAAGAGAGAGAAAAATGAATTTTGATAAAAATTGGTGCCAAACAGGGCCTTAATTTATTATTCATACTCATTTCCAATTATATATTTACACAATAAAATATTCTATACTTAAAACCAAAACTTTTCGTTAATTTTCAATCATACATTCTTTAAAAAATACTATTCAAAATTATGTTTTTCAAATTTTAAGATCACCAAACAGGGACTTAATTTTTATTTTTATTTTTTAAATGCGCAGTGGATCGTCCATAGATTTTGTTTTGAATCAACCAAGGCTACTATCTCTCCTAACTTTCGAACCGATCGAAATATTCAATTTAATCGAAAACATATAACCATTATAAAAGGATAAGTGGCATAAAACAACCATATTCTTTACTCGTGTTTGTACAAATAAATTTATTATTTCATTTTGGTACAATACCCTCTTAAGTCAAGCAAACGTTGCTAAAAATAACAATGTCGTTCAACTTTTTTCCGTTAAAACTTTGTAAAATGACATGAATTGATGTTTTATATGCATGTACGATAAAGTGAACTTTGTTGTTGTATCCTGTTTATTAACAGTTGACACCACACTTCATTTGTAATGAAACTTGTTAACAGTTGTTACCTTTAATTACTTGGAAATCATTTTTGGCAATCAAGATATTGTTGGACACCTCAATTTTTCTAGTTCAACAAACGCTTAGTAGATACTCATTCCAGGGTTAGGACATCTCCATATGCTCAACCTTTTCGAATGATGTATAATTCAGCTTAAATCTGCACAAGCTGAATCTTTCAATTTTCATTTATTTCCCATGATCAGCATTTAAGATCCAAAAAATGCTTAAATAGAAAGACAAACATCGTTGGACAGAAATGTTAATAGACCAAACACCACGGTTTTGAACTATGCAATACGTTTATACATTTGCTCTAAATTAGTGGCGGAGCCAGCACCCAGTGAGGGGTATAGCCATGCGTGCTAGGCTCCTTTAAAACTTTCAGTAGCCACCAAGCACTAGTTGCAGAGACGGAGTGGCTGTAGTGGAGGAAGAAAGA